CCGGCGGCTTGGTGAACTCCACCGGTGGCTCTGAACATCCCAAACGACAACAAAGCACTTTCAGTACCGATCCGGGACAAGCGAGCGGCCCCCCCATTTGGCTTTCGACGGGCCACCTTTGACAATGAGTCTGGCGTCGCTTCGGCAGTCTTTGGTGGTGAGTCGAACTTGTCCCGCTTCATGCAGCTGAACGTCCCTTAGGGTCATGCTATGGACTTTGCCCTCCAACTTCAGTACCACCTGCAGGTCAAAGTGAGAAGGTCAGTCTGGGCCCTTGAATGCTGCTTGTGATTCGTTTTCTTTTATGGCTAAGGCCTCGAAATGAAGGCACCACTCTAAGAACGATTGTGGTGATGACACCTTAGTTCTTGTTCATGGAGCCATCCTTGACCTTTGTTTCATGCATGACATGCATTGTAAACTCAGATGCCCAATAAACTGAACAAAATTGAATTCAACCACGCAATTGTGTCCGTTACATGTTTCTAACCTGTTTATTACAAATTCAGTACAGAGTATTTGTTACACAAGAATTCAGTCTTTCCTCATTTGTTCAGTGGCTTTAGATAACTCGATGCGTTCGTGTCCGTTTCTTTTATTAAAATCTGGTTGCAATATAGCCTCTATTTTTCAGGTACTGCCGGTGGGCCTGCAAGCTACCCCCTGCCAGAAGCGCTACCGCAAATTTACACAATGAATCGACAGGTTGGGTTTTTTTTTCCCCCCAGTGAATGCTTTAAAAACAACAGTTGAAGAACTCACTGCAAGTCAAGTGCAAATAATGCTCCGTTTCATATTAATCAGGGTATTTCTTAGGGGTTCTTTGCAGTCTACTTCTTTCAGGGCTGTTGGGCCGTACAGAAGATGGTCCGACAGTTGTTTGAGAACTGGGGTTTCTTGCACTGTCTGATGCAGGACTTAGTCACGCCCAAACGGATAAGAAGGGAACAAAAACCAAGTAGTTCCCTGCCGATTCAAAACTAACAAGCGGGCTCTCAAAGCGAATTGAAACCATTTGAATTTTGAAAAGGTTAAGAAAAGCTTTCTTTCATGGAGGCCCCCCCAAACTATGATCGCCTTGGTGAAAATAAAGTGTGACGGGATGACTTGGCGTTTTTCCTGTGCTGCGTTCAAAACGTGAGAGCAGGGCCGATCACGGAAAACCCGAAGGAAACTAGCAGCGCTTTCTATGGCCGGGCGCCTGACGGTGTTAAAAAAGACAATGTGTGAAAAGCGGGCGGCCACCCGCGACCCGCCAGCTGCCACCCGCCATCTGCGACCCGCCACCCGCTCCGTGGCCGCGCACGTAAAAAGTGGCGGCAGCAACAGAAACAGGAATTGAAGTGTGCAGACTCACCCGGTCGCTGGGCTCCAGCTTGACGCCCTCCAGGAACCACTCCACGGGAATGTCCTCGTAGGAAAGCTCGCATTCGAAGGTGGCCGTCTCGCCGGCCGTCACCTCCACGTCGCTCAACGGCCGCATCAGGTCAACCACGCGGGCTTTGGGGCGAGAAGGAGGCATGCTGCGTGAGAGCCATTTGGCCACAACCCCGTCCCAAAAAAAAAAAGGGAAAACGAGTCCCAGAGAGAGGTCCTCTGGAGGCCCACCGGGCCCGACGCCAGCAATACAGCTGCTGTTGAGCACCGGGTGGGCCGCCTCGTTAGCACGCTACCCGGGTCACGTCCCGCCCCGGCCAATCAAGGGTGTGCCGCTTGCAAAATAACCCCGGGTGCATCATTGGAGACTCCGTCTTCTGAATGTTTGGAATGAATGTTGGGCTCCTTGCAATGATCAAAACGTATTCCGCAAGTCATCACCGTTGACCAGCCTATCAACTATATTTGATGTGCAAAGAATTTGAAGGACTCCACTTCCAAATGAAGACCAGTGGATGATGGACAGGTCAATTAGTGACTTTGCTTTCACATCTTTGAAGGGTGAGCCTCCTCCCGTCCAATCGTGCTCCCCAACCCTCGCCAGAACACGCAACCAATCGGACGGCCCGCAGACACAAACAAGCATTCACTTTCACATCTTCGCCTTTTGACCATTTGGAGTCTTCGCTGAGTCACGCACGTCCGCACGCGTCGGGTCACCTTTGACGCGCAGCTGAGCGGATGATTTTGCATTTGCAGCGGCAAAGTCCACGCCCCCCGTCATGTCCTTGCGGCAGTTGAAGAGGATCAAAGTGTGCTTGACGCCTTCCTCCTTGATCTCCACATCCTGGGGGATGAAAACGAGGCGGCGGGCGGCGTCACAAGACAGCGGTCGCAAGAAAAGACGCCGGCGAAGCTGGAGGAAAAGCTCACGGCAGTCGGTTGAAGGATCTCGCCCTTCAACTTCCAGGTGGCGTGGAGGTCCTCCTCGGAGATCTCGGTCTCAAACTTGGCCGTCTCGGTCTCGGTGACTTCCACGCTGTAGAGCGGTCGCACCACCTTGATGTCGCGCTCTGCGGCGTGTGGAAAGACGTTAGCGTGAGTGCAAAGGGACAAACAAGAGGTGGTCGTAAGTCGGAGGGACCAGCCAGCCTCTAAGATAACGTTTGTTGAAGAAATTTCAAAAATGGTTTTGCGTGAGCAGAGGAAGGTTCTTGTGAACACGGGGACAAATGCGGAACCCACAGAGAGAATTTGAGCCCCCGCGAAACACAACTTTGTGATCAATCAGCATCACCTGCTGTCCACAGCTGAAAAAGCCTTTCAAAGGCCTCACGGTAGCTTTAAATTCTGAGGACAAATCCCATCCTAAGCAATAAAGAGGAGACTACGTGGACATGGGCATGTCGACTGACGAAAGAATTCAGAGGTTAGACTCAAATTTGTGTGAAAGTAGTTCAGGTGCTGTGCAGGAGCGACCAACGTTCAAAACTTGCTTCCTCAAAATCTTAAAAACATGTCGGTTACCGAACAAGCCCCAGCACACGCACGTGCGTTCAAGTCCGACTGAACAATATTCATGAATCCCGTCCTGAGGACGAAAGTGGGTGAGACCATGCGGACATTTGCGCATGTGTACTGGGCAAAAAGATTAAGAGGTTGGACGAAAGCCCAACCAGACCACTGATGTTTACTAACTTCAACTTCTTAACTTCTCTGGTAGAAAAAAAAAATGAAAAAAAGGTGTCCTGTGACCTTAGTGTCAAACTTTAGTGTTGTCCGGACCAATTCTGAGAGTTAAGTTACCGGGGAGCCAATGGAGAGCCCGCGGAGAGCATTCGAACCACTGTAAAGACCCCGAGCAATCCCCACCCCTTCCACCACACATACAGAGTTCTCATGACATTCACAACCAGCCCAGAGATTCAGGTCTCACGTTCCCGGGAAAAGTCTCCAGAGCGGCTGGCGCAACTCGTACCTTCGATGTTGAGCTGGGCTGTGGTTCTGTCCGTGCCGCAGTCGCACGTGAAGGCTCCCATGTCGCCCTTGGCCGCCTTGCGGATCACGAGGATGCGCTTCCTGCCGTCGGACTGCATCAGAATGTTCTTGGAGGCAAAGAGTTCGTTCCCGTCTTTGAACCAGCGGACCTCGCCGCTGGCTTTGCTCAGCTCACAGGTGAGCACCACCTCATCCTTTTCGATTGCGGTGTAGTTTTGGAGCTTGGACGTGAAGTAGAGGTCGCCCTCTGCAAGACGACGTCAGGTTAATGGTGTCAACGCACTGACAATGTACGATTGGCCGCGCGGCGACTGCAGTCGTACGCGCGCACGAACACAAAGACTCTGGGCTGTCATACTAACCCAGCACGGTGAGCATGGCCTCGGACATCTTGTCCATGGCCTCCACTTTGATCATGGAGGTATCATCGATAGAGACCTCCTTGAAGGCCAGCGTGTGGACTCTACCCTCCTCTGACATGTGCACCAACTTGCCGGGGTGCAGGCGTGCACCGTTTTTGTACCAAAGCACCGGGATGTTTTCGTGGGAGAGTTCCACGCTGAATTCGGCCGTCTCCCGCTCCTTCACCGTCACGTCCTTGATCGGTTTGAGAAACTCGAGGCGGATACCTGACAGACGGAGACCGTGTTGACACTCCAGCTGACCAATGCTTGCCCAAATCGGACGTCGCCAGTAGAAACCAACACAGAATTTTCAAAGTTGGAGGACGACTCCCGTTTATTAGAAGTAAAGAGGGTGCAACTTAACACCATACCAAGACATTTGGAACAACGGCAACAGTTTGGGGGAAATCCCTGTTTCCAGTGTACCAAACGACCCTCAGATACTTTACAAAGCTGCTTTTGTGCTGGGACGATTTGGCGTGGAAGTACAACTACCAGTCCTCGGAACGATCTTTTAACTCGTGTCCAAGTGGTGTACATGATGCACCAGTGAACACGCAGGACCCTGCTGCGCCACTGCGAACCGGGTCATTTCGGTTCATTTCGAGACGAAAATACTTGACTTTGAACGATGCAAATACATCTCACGCGACTTGTCGTCGCACGAGTCGACGTCAGGTACCTTCAATGATCAGCTTCCCTGATGTTCTCTGGTCTTCGGCCTCGAACAGGTACTTTGCTTCATCTTCATATCTGGCAGATTTGACGACAAGAGCGTGTTTGTTTCCGTCTTGCAGTAGCTGATATTTGTCATCGCTCGACAGTGTCTGAGAGCCTTTGAACCAACGGAAGCTTTTGGGTTCTCTGGACACCTCCAGCTCAAACTTTGCATCGTCCTTTTCAAAGACGCGGACGTCAGCCAGTGGCGTGATGAAAGAGATGGGAATCTCTGTTGATTGACACAGAGACGGTCAATGTCGCAATGAGGGCGGTGTTGGCGGAGGAGATGCCGATGCTCACCCTTCACTTTCAGATTGGCCGAGCACTTGGCGTCAGCGGCGCTGAACGAAACTTCGCCGGTCTGAGGCACCTTGCAGTTGTACAGCACCAGAGTGTGCTTAGTTCCGTCCTCCACCATCTCCACATCCTGTTGACGCCGATGCACTTTTCAACACTAAGATCGGGGTCGCGGGACCACCATTTCACACCTCACACTTGCACACAAACACACACGCACACACACAATAGAAGATCTTGGGGGTTCACATACAGGAGACGGACTTAGGACTTGTCCATTCAGTGTCCACTGGCTGTGCACATCGTCCTCACTCAGCTCCACCTCAAAGCGGGCCGTCTCGCCCTCAAACACCTCCACGCCGTACACCGGCCGCACCACTCTGATGTGTCGGGCTAGCATTGAAGAGAGGCCACAACTTAGTGACAAACTCCCAAGAGAGCGGCGCGAGAAAGTCATCGACGGGAATGGGGCAGCGTGAAGATCGTGTTGAAGAAGACGACGTGGGAAGAAATGGAGATCAGAGCGTGTTGGAAAACTGCAAAAGGTGGCATTAGCGGGCACGGCCCCATCGCGAGGTGCAAGAAGCTGATTTGGTGGCAATGCGGGGGGGCATTGATGAACATCCACGACAAATTGTGGACTTTACCTTCAACGTGAAGGCTTGCCGTGGTCTTGTCCGTCCCACAGTCACACACGTACTGTCCCTTGTCTACGTCGGCGACTTTCCTGATGAGCAACATTCTGCGGGTGCCCTCTGCCTTGATGGCGACCACCTTGGAAGCCTTCACTTCCTCTTCATTGTGGTACCAAACCACCTTAACATCCTTGTTGAGCTCACATTCTAGCGCTACCTTGTCCTTCTCCACCGCTGTGTAGTCCTGCAGCTTGACCGTGAAGTAAGCGTCTCCCTCTGGAAAGGTACAATTGCACAATCATGACACCAAACTAACAAGACAGAGACTGGAAGCGGTCCAGGCACAAAGATGGTAGACAAGGACGCTGGCGTGAGCCCTGGGCGGACAATAACAAGCAAGAGTTACCTATGACGGTCAAGTTAGCCATGGAGGACACTCCTTTGGCCTCAGCCTTGACCTGGCAAGTATCATCTAGAGTCACGTCCTTGATCTCCAGCACGTGACGCTTTCCATCCACGCGCTTGAGCACCGTTCGGCTCGGATGGATTTTGACATCGTTCCTGTACCAGGTGACTGGAATGTTTTCATGAGAGAGCTCCAGCTCAAAGAGAACTGTGCTGCCCTCTTTCACCGTTTGGTCCTTGAGCGGCGAAATCAGTTTGAGCCTGATGCCTACAACCGCAGCGTCAAAGCATTAGGACACAGATCACGCGTGACACGAATGTCGCCCGCAATGCCACGGGTCCACCACCTACCCTCCACTGTGAGTCGCGCCTTGGACTCTTTGCCCAAAACCTCAATCCTGTATTCGTCCTCGTCGTCAAACTCGCAGCAGTTGATGATCAGCATGTGTTTCTTGCCATCATGGATGATGTCATATTTGGCGTCTGGCGTGATGATGTCGCTGCCCCTGTACCACATGGCCTTGGCGACATCTCTGGTGATGGCACACTCGAATTTGGCCTGTTTCTTTTCAGGCACGCTAACGTCCTTCAGTGGTTCGACAAAGTCCATTGGGATTTCTAAAGAATGTCAGAATGTGACAGGCAGACGCATCAAAGATACGTCAATGACAATGGCAGCAAACATCAGACGCAAAGCTGCCGTTGTATCGCCACGTACGCTGCAGACCTCACTGAATGTGCTTCCAGACCAGACGGAACGACAAAACCCAAGTAAACAAACAAACAAACAGATAACAAGAACAGGGATCTTTGGTCACTGCAGTCCTCCGCCGTATTTTACATACAACTGGCAAACCTACGAAAGACGCCCTAAAGTCCACATGGACCTGAATGTCATTGATTTCTGACTTTAGGCCTCAAACTGTACAGAAATGGAAAAAGACAAGCCAGGGTCGCGATAGTTCCCCACGGGGATGCCGTGAATACGTTGCTTACCTTTCACGGTGAGCATTGCGCTTGTTTGAGCGTTCAGTGCCTGGTAGGACACCTCACCCGACTGCTCCACTTGACACTTTTTAAGTTTGAGTTGGCGCACGCCACGCTCCATTTGGATCTCGCAGGTCTACGGGAGGAAAACTGTTACCCAAGCGAAAAATCTATCCAGACAGAGAATTGGAACGAAAAATCCAGGCCGTCGTACCGGGGATCTCATCAGAGGCTCCCCTTTGAGCTTCCATTGCCCTGGAATGTCATCCTCAGAAATTTCAGTCTCAAAGGCAGCATCTTCCTTCTCGAACACCTCCACACTGACCAGCGGCTTCAAGATCTCCGCCTCACGCTCTGAGATAAGACATGTTATCACGTGCACCAAAGGGTAAACCACGGCAGATAAAACCAATGAGATGTCAACCTCCTAGAGTCAGCTTGGCGGCGTAGACACGTCCCTCCACCTCCACGGAGTAGTCCGACACGTCGTCAGGCTGGCAGTTCTTGATGGTCAACGTCACGTTCTTCCCATCCTTGTTGATCTCCACTTTGTCGGAGGGAGTCAGCTCCTTGTCTCCTTTCAGCCATTTCCAGTTGGGCGTGTCCTTAAACAGCTCGCCTCTAAAGGTGGCAGTCGCCTTCGGTTTCACATGCTGGTCCCTAAGAGGCCTTGCAAGCCAATCTTTGATGACCTCTGTTTGAACCAGACCAGATGGTCAGAACCCAGGTTACAAAGATTGCGAGCCACTAGAATTAAGTCGAACTACTCACCGGTCACTTTAACATTCGTCGACGTCTTCAACTCATTCTGGTTGGCCACTTCGCACGAGTAGCACCCAGCGTCCTCCTCAATGGCATTTTGGATGGTGACGGCGTGCACCAGGCCGATGATATTGATCTGGAACTTATGTTCCTGTTTCTTCAGGAGCTCGCCGTTCTTCTTCCAGATGACATCTCTCTCCTTGTTCAGCTCACAGGACAGGTAGAGCGGCTGACCCTTCACGGCCGACATCTCCGGCACCAATTCCTTGGTCCATTTTACAGGGAGCTCTGAAAATGAGAAAGAACAATTCAGGTCAGGTCCTGACAGTCCTGTGTCTATGCAAAGCTCCAAGACCTACTGAAGCAACTACACACCTTCAACAATGAGCTTGGCGGTACAGGTGATTTCCTTGCCAGCGTTCTTGGCGACACAGGTGTATTCCCCGGTGTCCGACAGCTGCACGTCTTTCACCATCATCTTGCGATCTTTGCCGTCAGAGGTGAATTTGTGCTTGGGGCTCTCGCGCAGGTTGCTGCCGTCCTTCATCCACGACGTGACAGCAGTGGACGGTGACACCTGGCACTCGAACACGGCCGAAGAACCAATGGACTCGGCCTCAAGCAGCATGATGTCCTCCAGCTTCTTGATGAACTTGAGGGGCACGGCTTTGAGTTTGTATCCTCCAAAAGGCTCTTCCGGGGGTGGAGGAGTGCCCCTTCCGGCAGGCCTGAGGCCACGACCCCTGCCCTCACCAGGCGATGGCGTCAGCTTGGCTGAAAGACAAATTAAAAGAAGAGGCCTTTCAGGATGGGCAGACGTCACCGACTGAATTCAGTCAAAGGCAACTCACGTTTGAGACCTCTTCCTCTCCCTCTCACTGCTTCCTCTGCCGGTTGTCCCTCTGTTCAGAAACACAACATATGAGCCTGCTTGTTGCACACAAGGTAATCTTAAAAGGTGCCAGCGGCTGCGAGTGAACGTGGAGTCATGAGCGTGAATGAGTGAGCGTGAATGAGCTACGCTACTCAATCAAAGAAAGTATGACACCGGGTTCGAGTGCCGTCATGACATGAAGATGAAGGCGAGACACAAGTGGACAGGAATGACTTCAGAGCGTAACCAGTAAGGTTGAGGGCCACCAACAACAGGTATGGCGTGTGAGCGGTGTGAAAATGGAGGCATGACCATGGCAATGAGTGGAGATTATTCCGTGCATGAAGGATGGCTCTTTTCCCAGGTTGTCCCGCCTCCGACGTCTCACCTCTCCTGGTCGCCCCCGGCACCTCCAAGGCGCCCTCCTCCACTTCACCTTCCCAGTCGTCATCAGGAACCAGTTCCCAGCCCCAGGCCTCTTCCTCTTCTGTCTCTGCCTCCTCGGGCAACCCGAAGTCCTCCTCAAAGACCTCTTCCTCGGGCTGGGTAGCGACTTTTGTCATCTCGACCGCTCCGGGAGAAATTTCCTTGAATAGAGGAATCTTTTCTTTTGGAGGCTTTGCGACGTCTTGATCTTCCGGCGAGGGCGTTTTGGATACTTTTTTGAGAGGGGCTGCTGCTTCTGGGGAGACCGTCGGGGAAACTGTTTTGGGAGTCTTTTTGAGTTTAGCGGCGGCAGGAATTTTTTCGGCTTCTTTAGTCTTCTCAACTTTTGGTGGTGTCTTTTTCAGCTGAATTTTCTTGAATTGTTCTAGAGGTGTCAAAGGCACCTCTTTTTGGTCCTTGGCCTTGGGCGTGACTGCCTTCCTTAACTGCAGTGGTTTTGGCTCCTCTAGAACTTCATCCGCTTTCTTCAAAGTAGATGGCACTTGAGAGGGAATCTTCTTTGCAGGCTCAAGCCTCTTCAGTTTCTCCAGTTTTTCCGCTTCTGCTTGGGGGGTCTCGGGTTTCTTGGGTGTATCAGCCGGTACTTTCACTTCAGGCTGGTCCTCAGGGCTAACATGTTCCTTGTGCAGATCTTCTGCTGGTTCCTTCCCTTCAATCGCTGACGGTTTCTTCTCAGGTTCAACAGCTTCAGTTGAAGGTCGAGCGAAAGGCTTGAGACTGACCTTCTCTGGCACTGGCTCTGGCTGTACTGCAGGGGTTTTCTTTGCCTTTACTGGTGCTGGAGCTTCTTGCTCCTCAGGTTTTTCCGTAGGTACTGGCTTTGGCACCTTCGCTGGGGGCTCCCTGACCTCGGCTGGTGTTTTCTGAGGTATCTTTGGAGGTTCCTTTTCCTCAGTCTCCCTGGGGATCTTGGTTCCCTTTTGGAAAGCTACGGTGTCCCTGTCTGGTGTGTCGTCTTTAGCCTTCTCTGGCTCTTCGGTAGCTTTAACTGGCTTCTCAAAGGGTTTTAGTTTGACAACTTCTTGTTCTTGTTCATCGGAAGGCAGTTTTTTCACTTTTTTCAAGGCAACAGTAGGAGGGGCTGGTTCCTCCTCCTTTGGAGCTTTGGGAGTTTTCTTCCATGAAATGGTTTCTTCCGGTTTATCGTCTTTTGGAGTTCCTTTTTGATGGCGCCATTTAGGCTTCTCTTCTTCTTTTCCTAGTTCTGGTTCCGGCCTTGGAATTTCCTGCTTTTTCTCCACCTCTGCTTTGTCTCGCGGTGTTCTCTCCTCAAAGGACCTCGCAGTGGTAACCTTCATCTCAACTTCGTGTTCTTTATGCACCAGCTCGACAATGTCAACTTGCGTGGTCTGGGTGGCCTCTCGAAGTTTCTGCTCCTTCTCAACCTCTTTAGGTGATACCAATGGGACCTTCTTGAGAAAGACCTTTTCCTGCTCTGGCTCCACCTCTTCCCTCGTGACCGGCGTGGTTTTTCTCAGAGTCGGAAGCTCAAAGGTCCCTGTCTCTTCCAGGGGAACTTTACCTTTTTTTAGCAGGGCTGGTTCTGAGGCAGCACAGGTTCACGTTACAAGAAATCGGTACACGCAAACAACATGTCAGACAATGGGCTACAGACACAAAGACTGAGTAGAAACAAAGTGAATTTGTCATGATTCAAGTCTTGTTGTGAGCGTTGTTCCTACCTTTCTTGACTCCTGCTGGTGCTTGAACTGGTCCCTTGGTTTCATCTAAAGGTTGAAAAGATTGTTATCAGGTCATTTATTGGTGGAAATGGTTGACAGAGGGCCTTACAGGCCTGGACGAAAGCATCCTGAACCTCAACAATGCAGACGACATCAAGCAGTAAACAATAAAACAAAGAACCCTTTCCATTGGTCCGACAAACTACCTGTCTGAGGGGTCAATATCAAAGGTTTTTCTTCCTCCACAACCATCGCGGTCGGCTCTTCAGCCTTTACAAGCGGCTTGATCACTTCAACGGTAACAAATATACACACATAAATAAAGGAAAGAGGACAAAGAAAAAAAAGAGATGTTGCCGGTAAACGAGCTGACAATGGGTTTATGATTGAAGAGCCATCAAAATAGCCTTGGATACCTGGCGTGGTCGTGATTTTTTGGAGCTGCTCACCCTCATCTGGCTTTTTGACATCCGCCGGTATAGGTGCTTGCCGTTCTTCAAGTACAGGGTAAATCAAGTCAACAACAAGATTTGAATCTTGAGCAGAGTCTGCCTTGGAATGACGTCAGCATTCGCAGACGCGCAAGAGTGACATTCAAAGAGGTTGCTACCTTCTGTGGGTTGAGCCGGCTTGACTGCCAGTTGCTTGACCGGTGGTCGCAACTCCTCCACCGGAGCTTGGAAATGAAACGAAATGACAGGTCAGAGCGTCCATGCAGGCGACGCCAAGAGGAAGAAACAGATATCCAGAGGGACAAACAAAGACTGAAGAGGTTAATGTGCTCGGTTTGGAAAGAGCAGCGATGTGAGACGTGGCGGACTGGCGCTTTAGAGGCAACATTCAAAAACCTGGCTGGACAGGCGGATGCTTGTTTGTGCCCAGAGGAAATGGGTGCCATGACATGAGACCCTGAAACCGATGTGACGCAGAATTGCTGGACAATGACTTGTACTCCAGGTCACAAAGACACGCAATCAGTGACACGCCACACATTCTTTCTCAGTACCTCTGCAGACATTTTGAGATGAAAGCCCGTTTTCTCCACAGGCCTCAGCCTGCAGGGGAGCGCTTTCTGCGAGGGCTGGTTTGGGTTCATCTGTTACTGAAGGTTCTTGGACTGAGGCCATCAAACTAATTTCTGTTTTTGATGTTGCTTTGTCATGTGCGTCCATTTTTCTTCGGTCTTTGGACTCTGCTTTTCCACTGTCAGTACGATCTCGGCTGGATTTATCTCCTTCTCCCTCAGTTGAGAAAAGTTTCTGCTGCCCTACCAGGTCTTTAGGGGCTACTTCAACTTCATATATTTCATCTCTTCTATTGGCATCAAATGAAGCTGCTAGAGCTCTTTCCTTGTCATTGGCTTCAATCTTAGAAGTTACAAGTTCCTGAACTCGATTTAGATCTGCTTCTTTTGTGGTATCTGTCACCAATAATAATTCACGCTTCAGCTCCCCCCGTTGCACTCGATCTGATTTTAGGACGAGTCTCTCGGGTGTGCTCTGAGGACTATCTAACTGTGTTCCTCCTATGATTCTTTCTCTCTGAGTTACACATCCTCCCTGAACCACGGAGGCATCCGCACGCACATCTTCTACCGAAATTTGTTTGACTTGACTTAAACTTTGTCTTTTCTCTTTGGGGGATGTCAATTTGAATTCGGGTTGTTGGTTGTTTTGGCCGCCTTCAAAAACGCTGACATCTGTTTGCCCTGGGATGTGGACAGCTTGCTCTGGGGGAACTGGGCAGACTTTGTTCTTTCCTACTTGAGGCAAAACAAAGCTCTTTATTTGCTGTCTTCTTTCCTTTCCTTCAGAGTCAAGAAGAGAGGCCACCTCTTTCGGCATCTCCAGTCCAGCATAGTCCTCAGGACTTCTCGCAACAACAGGTTCAGGGTCGGCGACTTTTCCCGCAAGTGACGTCAGGAGAGCAGCATCATCCTCTTCCCTTTCTGTTTGAATTTCTTTCCTCTGAGGTCCCACAACTTCCTCTGTTAGCTCTTCAGACTTTTGTATTTTCTCAAGATCAAGAGTCAATTCTTCACCCGCAACCACCGCTGCTGGAGCTTGGTTAGTTGACACTCGAGGCTCTACCTGGGAGGCAGTCGAGTCCATGTGGAGGAGGAGACATACGTCCTCATCTTCATGTGTACGGGTGCCCGCTGACAAACGAACCACCGACTGTGCTGACTGACACAGCTCTGGTTCAGTCTCAGCAGGTTCCCTGAGGTCATCCGCGCCAGAAGTCGGTTTCCTCGCAACTGTGTTGGCCAACAGAACTGACGGAGGTTTTTCGGGTGTTGAATTGTCAAGCGCCGTGAGGTGCGATGGGTTCATTTGTTCAGTGTCTGCAACTTTTGTCTGTGCCTTCTGGGCAGTCACCTCCGCATTTTTAAGAGGACTGATGTCTAGTTGCTGTGCTTGTGTCGTGGGTTCTTCCTCGTGGAATAGCGTCTGTCTTTCAGCAACTATACTTGATGTGCAGTCTATAAATGGACAGGAGTCACTTGTGCTACCCTTTGATTGAGGCACGTCATCTTTCGCTTTGTTTAAAATCTGAATTTCGTTCTCTTGAAACATCTCCGATGTAACGGGGGTCTGCTGCTCTTTCTTTACAGCAGCTCTGAACTTGAAGGTGACATCTTCTCCGCCCTTCGCTTTGGGTGCCTCCAAATGGTGGGACACCACTAATGTCCTTTCGGTTCCTTTCGGGCTTTGAATGTTTGCAACTTTAAAAGATTCTTCTGTGCTCCCTGCCAATGCAACCGCTCTCTCATCACCAGTCACTTCCTTCCACTCCATTTCAGAATGTCTTTGTCTAAGGTAATATGTCTCGTCTCCACTTGGTTTCTGAGGCTCGACATCTCGCAAATTATCGATTGTCAGTTTCACGTCGAGCTCAGCCAGCAGCTGTTTATCTGATGACTGCCTAATGGGTGACGTGGTTGCTTGAACTTGGGAGTTGTCTCTTCTGGTTCTATCCGCCTCACTGGTTGCCTGTGGCGTTTTCAGCTTAAATCGGACGCCTGAACCCTGGCTGAATTCTGAGCTTTCTTGAAGGCCCAGGCTCTCGGAACCATCAGTAACAGATATCCAGGCCCTGGGTTTTGAGATTTCATCCGCATCTTTGCTCTTGTCTCGATCTTCCCCCTGCCGGCTGTCCGAGGCTTCCTCAGACAGGAAGCTGCTCCTCAGTGCCTCCCTTTGCTTTCCTTCCCCAGATGCTTAACGGGGAAGCGGAGATATTGCGGGAAGAGTGAAGCAAAAGCACCATGATGCGGTGCCAAGAGATTAGGACCAGACAACAGAGACATCTTAGTTAGAAAGGACAAGAAAGACAACCGGGAATTGATCAGTCCGAAGGCAAATGTGCTGCTGTGCTACCTCTCTCAGCTTCTTTTTCCAGTCTCTCCACAACGGCGGGAAACTTGTCAGCTTCTTTAAAAAAAGGGGTTAAACGCAAGATGTTAACATTCAGACGAAAAACAAAGAACCCCAAAAAACAAACAAACAAAAAAAAAACAAAGAACTGTGACAAAAGAGAATGAGAGAATTGCAGATGTGGCTGAAGTTAATGCCCCTCGGTGTACCTCGGTCAGCAGCTTTGTCTTCTTTCTCTTGGCTTTTTCTTAATGTTCCAGTCCGAAGACTTGAGTCTTTCTTTGGGGTTTTGTCCTTACGACGCATTTGCTGGGACGGGATATCTGGCACCGAGACCGGTGCTTCTGCTTTCATTTTTGCTTCAATCAGTGGAATATTCTCTTGCTTTTTCTCAGCTACCTGGTGACTCACCGCTAATTGTTCATCTTTAGCTACAACATTGTCTGATTCTACCACCTGGTCTTCTGGACTGCGGCTTCCTTTGTCTCGTGCAGAAGATGCAGCGATGTCAACACGGTCTCGGTGGGGCGCCTCGACGACTATTTCCTGTTTCACCATCGAGGGTTTGACACTAGCTTCCTTGGTTTCTTTCCGGATCGTCGCCTTGGCTTCTTTCCTGACTGCCACGACCTGTTCCTCATCTTTGCTTTCAGCCCTAACTTCTTTGGTAGTCCGCTGCTCTTTCTTAAGCTCTTCTTCTTTCTCAGTAATCACAGCAGTCTCCTTCCTGTCAGGAGCAGATATCTCTTCTCGAGGTTTAGACCGTTTCGTGCGGGTCTCAGTCAATGAAACCTTCACTTGTCCCACCGGGCACAAGGCCTTCTCATACGAAACTTGGGCTCTGTCTTCTCGCTCGGCCTCATAAGACGAAGCTTCCTCGGTGAAAGGCTCCGTCTCCATCACGTGATGCACTTCCTGACGCTGCTCAAGCCTGACTGGCCTCTCTGAGGCACCAAGAGGGGGCGTCATAGGGCGGCGCCAAGAAATGACAGCAAAACACAGACAATCAAGCGTGAGACAATGGCAAAGAGGAGGAAAAAAAAAAAAGACGTCAGATGCTTCAAGAGGTTTTGAAGCTGTCCCTTTGCTGATACCTTTTTCTGGAGGAGATACTTTCTTCTCTGGTTCACCCTCCGAAGGTGGCGCCTTGACAAATTGCTGAGTTTCCAAACCTTCAAGTTTGTCATCCAAGGTGTATGCAAAAGGAAAAAAAAAAAAAAAAAAACAACAAAAAAAGAGGAGAGAGTCATTTAGGCAAACAAGCGGGCACAAACGAGAGGTGAGTCTGCAAGAGTTCTCCAGCTGCTCGGAGAGCCTAAAGCGCAAGGTTTTCTACGAGAGAGCAGCTCTTCAAAATGTGCATGCATGATGAAGAGGAAAGGAGAAAGGAGAAAGTAGAGGAGGAAGAAATAGAGAATGAAGGAGATGAGGAAGAAAAAATGTTTTTTGTCTCCCCTGTACCTGTGGCAGAATCTTCTACTACTGCCTTTTGGACACGGGCAACCCCAGAGAAGGTTTCATCACGTGGCTCCTCTGGAACCTTCTCAGGCAACAAGAGAGGAACCCCGGCGTCTTTAGACGCCTTCTGGGGAGCCGGAATAGGCTTTTTTTTAAGTGCTCTGTCCTCTCGCGGCTTTGCAGTAAGTTTCTCTGTGTCCTTTTCAACCAGGACCTCTTCCGATTCTTTCTGAGGTGGGAGGACTTTCTCTGACATCTGAGGCAGGTCCTCTGAGTTTCCCGTATGTTTTTCATCAGGAAGATTCTCTGGCACTCTCTGAGGTTTACCAGGAAGCCTCTTTGGTACTTTCTGGGGTTTGTCAGAAAGTTTCCCTGGCACTTTATCAGGTTTCCCTGGTACTTTCCGAGTCTTATCAGGAAGTGTCTCTGGTACTTTATCGGGTTTAACTGGTACTTTCTGGGGTTTATCAGGAAGTTTCTCGGGCACTTTCTCATATTTATCAGGATGTTTCTCTGGTACCTTCTCTGATCCATTTTCAAGTTTTTCATGAAGTTTCTCTGGTATCTTTTCATGCATTTTATCAGGCAGCTGCTCTGTTATTCGATCAGATGAACATGGACGATTCTCTAGTGCTTTGGCATGGGTGTTATTGGGAAGCTTCTCGAGTACTTTCTCATGAGATTCATCGTGAAGCTCCTCTGGTACGCTTTCAGAACGCTTCTCTGGTACCTTACAAATTTTTGCCTGAAATTGTGCTGCTACTTTCTCGGATGTTTTAGCAGGTCGCTTCTCTGCTATTTCATGTGATTGATCCGAAAGTTTCTCTGGCACTTTCTCATGTGGTCGAGAATGAAGCTTCTCCGGTACTCTATTAGGAAGCTTCTCTTTCTCACTTGCGTGATCAGGAATTTTCTGTGGCACTTTTTCAACGAGCGTGTTTGGTACTTTCTCAGGTGGTTTAGCGGGGAACTTTTCCGGTACTGTCTCAGAGGCGTCTGGGGATCTCTCGGGTGTCTTTTTCAATAACCTCGCTGCTCTTTTCTCCTGTGGTTTACCAGGAAGCTTGTCTGCTATTTTCTTGGACGTGGCGTGAAGCTTCTCTGGTACTTTAACGGCTTTCTCAAATACTTTCACAGGAGTTTTTTCGGAAAGCTTCTCAGGAATGCTCTCAGGTTCATTCTGGAGTTTCTCTTGTATTTTCTCATGTGGTTGATTGGGGCGTTTTGTTTGTCCTCGTTCGGGTTTATCGTTTTGCTTTTCTGGTACATTCTCGGCTTTCTCACAAAGCATCTCTGGTACTTTTTCAGGTATGCCAGGATGCTTCTCTGGGACTTTGCCAGGTTTATCATGAAGCTTTTTTGGTACTTTCACTGGTACGTCATCAGGCTTAGCGAGAAGCTTCTCTGCCACTTTTTCTGGTACTTTCCCCGGTATTTCATCAAGCCTCTCTGGTACTTTCAAGGGTATTTTATCAGGTACACCAGAAAGCTCCCCTGGCACTAGATCAAGTTTATCATGAAGCTTCTGTGGTGCTTTTTCTGGTCGTCCATCAGTGATACCAAGAAGCTTCTTCACCACTTTTTCTGGTATTTTCTCTCGTTCCTTATCAGGTTTATCATGAATCTTCTCTGGTACTTCATCAGGTGTACCGCAATGCGGCCCTCGCATTCTATCGGGTGGACCATTAAACTTCTCTGGTACCTCATCAGGCTTACCCAGAATCTTCTCTGCCACTTTTTCCGGTACTCGATTGGCTTTATCATAAAGACCCTCTGATTCTCTCTCTGGTACTTCATCATGTATACCAGGAAGGTTTCCTGGTACTTTATGAGGTTTTTCATGAGACTTCTCTGGTAGATCATCAGGCTTACCAGGAAGTGTCTTTGCACCTTTTTCTGATACTTGCTCAGGTTTATCTTGGGTTTTCTCTGGTATTTTCTCCCCATTTGTAACCTGGAGTGAGTCAGGTGCATGACTCGGTGACATGACAACCTCACGGGGCTTCTGCTGAGGTTGTGTAGGAGGCATGTGCTGGAGTACAAGAGCAGCGTTCCGAGCTTGAAGAAGTTTTGAGACAATAATGCATATCACATGAAGAGCAGACCAACATGCGAGCGCACACAAACCTACAAAGCCTTGTTGAACAACTAAAACGGAAGCCATTTAGCACAGACGGTCTGGGGGGTGGCACCGGTGCCCCCTAACGGTGACAGGTGTGAGCACAAACATCCAAGTACCTCTTTTTGGCTCGGCTGGCTCTTCTTTGGGAGGAAGCAGAACAGGTTCGGCTTTCTTTGCTGTTTTTGGTTCTTCTATCTTCTCTGCCACAACAGGAACTTGGAAGAATAACAAAGCAATTAGCATCACAAAATGACTAGGAGCAGAAGATGCGTGAAGAACCGCACGATTCAAAGAACCGCATGTGAGAACCACACGCGAGGAACCATTTTTAAGCACCAATGATAAACAACCACATACGAAGAGCTACAGATGAAGAAACCGCACAAAGAAAAACAATGCACGAGGAAATGAAGCGCCCAATGTGATGAAGTACATCTATGCCAAAATAAATAAACCAATCACTGAAGGAAAATCAACGAAGAGCCACACGTGACGAACAGCAAGAAGAAAACACGGTTAAAAAAAAAAAAATACACGAAATATAACAGATAAAGAATTATATGACAAGCCACTCTTGAAGAACCACAGAGGAGGAACCAAATATGAAGAACAAATCGTAAAAAAAAAACCCATCTGACAAACGACATGAAGATCCACACATGACGAACCACACATGAAATAACACAACAAACCACACAGCAGGACTGACAAATGACATCTTGACAATCACATGCCAAGAACAGCTCGCGAAGAACAATACATGATAAACCAAACAACGGGATGAAGCACAGCTTTGGAACAACACTACACGATGAAGCAAACATGACGTTAAGAGGAGTATAAGATTGAGTTCTTGGTGGTTGAGCTTCAGATACCTTTGGTGACCACAGGTTTCTTCTGTAGTGTTTCTTCTTTGGGGGGCTTCTGCGGTTCTGCAGCAGCCTCCTTCTTCAGTGGCTTCTTTGGCACTTTGGGACAAGATCTTGGTCAATCAGTAAACTAAATTCATGGAAGAATGGCGACCACCTTCCCACTTTGAGATTTAAGAAGATGAGCAAAAGCCCATGGCTGGAAGATGCGTACCTTTTTTGGAAGGTTCCTTTGGTTCTTTGGCCTTTGGTTGTTCTACTTCTGGCACCTTGGCCTCTTCAACTTCAGTCTTTTTCACCACAGGTACCAGTTTGGGGGGTTTGGCTCTCTCCACTGGCTCCAGTTTGGGAGGTTGTGGTACCTCCACATGCTCTGGTGTGGATACCTCCACAGGCTCTGGTTTGTGTGGTTTGGATGCCACTTCAGGCTTCGGTTTGGGAGCCTTAGTTTCCACCACAGGCTCCGGTGTGGGTGGTTTGGGCTCCACCACAGGCCCAGGTTTTGGCGGTTGAGGTACCACCACAGGCTCTGGTTCAGCTACCGCCACTGGCTCTGCTTTTGGCACTTCAGGTTTGGACTTTATCTTAAGAGGTTCTGGTTTTGGCTCCTCTGAGACTTAAATTGACATGTTTGACACTCAAAGATGGGTTTTCACTCAAAGAAACTCACACACAGAAAAACACAAACACAAAGAACACCAGAGAAGAAGGCAGAAAGTACCTTTAGGCAGTGCAGGTTCTGGTTCAGGCTTTGGCTCGGGCTTAGCCACGGGCTTGACTTTGGGCTCTGGCTCGGGCTTTGCTACCCGCTTGACTTTTGGCTCAGGCTCGAGCTCCGGCTTTGGCTTCACCGCCGGCTTGACTTTGGGCTCTGGCTCGGGCTCTGGCTTGGGCTTTGTCACGGGCTTGACTTTGGGCTCTGGCTCAGGCTCGGGTTTTGTCATGGGCTTGACTTTGGGTTCTGGCTCGGGCTCCGGTTTGGGCTCCGCCACCGGCTTGACTTTGGGCTTTGGCTCGGGCTCCGGTTTGGGCTCCGCCACCGGCTTGACTTTGGGCTTTGGCTCAGGCTCCGCCACCGGCTTGACTTTGGCCTTTGGCTCGGGCTCCAGTTTGGGTTCCGCCACCGGCTTGACTTTGGGCTCCGGCTCAGGCTCCGGTTTGGGCTCCGCCACCGGCTTGACTTTGGGCTTTGGCTCGGGCTCCGG